GTATGGATGTGATTACACGCAATACACGGAGCTTTTCCCTCACCATTGTAACGCGCTGCTTTTGCAAGGTTCCGTGAAAACATTTCAGATTTTATTTTCCTTTTTCGCCCTGAAGAAGATATCACAGGTTCATCAAGTTCGTCGAAATTATCCATCCTCGATCACTTTTAGTCAGTTTTGACGAAACTCCTCTCAGCTAGCATGTCTTTCAAAGTGAAAGTAGCCTTGTCACCTTACCTGAATACAGCGGATTCGCTAAAATGGACTTATCGGCTTCTGTTAAAAAACAACAAGGGCGCTTGTCGGCTTCTACAGTAAAACGTGAACTCGTGATGCCTTGAAAGTGGACAAAGCCGGCATTTTTGACAAAACGTGTTTAGGGTTCAGATCGAGCTATATGTGGAGAATAATGCACGGCAATCAGCTCATTTTTTTGAAAGTGCCGTTTATCGGTTTTTGCAAATGAACTCTTTAAGTGTACCTTACAGCGACGACATATCACTTCACGGGTAGTGGACAGAAAATGTACCCGCCAGCCATTGCAGGGAAACAAGGTTAAAATGGAGCTTACCGTAGAATGAGGAGAGATTTTCTTCAGCTTTTTTACCTCAGGAGTGGTTGCTAAACAGTTTTGCTGGAGTAATCTGCAGGAGATTTAACAGTTATGATTATCATACCTATTAGCTGAAAATATATTGTACATTACTATACAAATCCATTTATCTTCTAATATAACGCTTCAGTAAAACAAAAAAATAATTATATTCACAAAATGTATTTAATATATTTTTATATGGAAATGTTGTGATTTATATTTATTTACATTTACAAATTGAACATTGTAACTAATGTACAATATTGGGCTTTTCGAGTATAGGGTATTGAATGTAATAAGTTTGAATGTAATCATTTTTTTATATAAAAGTACGTATAGATCTATAATATAGGCCTACATTTTATATGAAACTTGTAATGTTTATTTATTTACACCAACAGGCCTGTATATGCTAATCTGCGCGACTCGAGTGTCATCTGTATTTGATGACGTCGCAAGGCGTTACAAATAATGACTGGTTTTGTTTTGTTGTTTTTTTTTTCAAACGTTTGCAAAAAAATATTATATAGGCCTACATAAATTTAGAATCTTAAATCCCCTTCTCTGTTTAGGCTTTATAATCAGATATAATTTTATATATATATATATATATACAGTGGGCGGAAAGTATTCAGACCCCCTTCAATTTTTCACTCTTT